ACAATAAAAAGTTAACTTAAATCTCATGTGCCAGCAGAATGATAAGAATGTGTTTAATCCACTTCTGGACTCTGACGTTAGTAGAGCACTGCTTTTCATATATAAACACAATACATGTGTGAAGAATGATTGTTATATAAATCTTTCTTTAAAAGATTTTTGCCTTAGGGTGTATGCAGTCATGAGAGAGAGAAAGAAAGAAACAGAGACACTGAGAGAGAAAGTGAGAAATTAGCCCACAGAGGGAATGGCCATATCACAACCCATTCTCCTCCATCTCCTCCCAGGATGTGGGTCATGAATGCACATGCTCTCAATATGAGGTTGTAGATAGCAGGTTCAAGACTCTAACTGTGGTCAGTCATGTGTGAGTCCAGCATTGTAACTACTATGTGATCTACTGGCCCCTGTTGTATAAATCTTCTGACTCATCTAATTGGCTAAGATTAATAGTCAATGTGTTGAGATGCTTAGTACAACAAATAATAATATTCAGGAGGCTGGCGGGATGGTGGGGTGGATAAGGCACTGGATTCTCATATGGCAAACTATGGTTTGACCCCTGGTCCATTGACTGGCTTTCACATTCTGCCTCTCTCTCTGTTTCTCTCTCAATCTCTCTCTCTCTCTCTCTCTCATCAATTTAAGAAGGCTAATAATAAATAACAAATTAAAAAATAATTCTTAAAAAAATGATATGCAACATGACAAATGTGAATGGTATCTACAAAAACATGAATGGTATTTTAATCCGTACTCTCCTTGTGTTTATAGAATATCAATATATAAGAAGGACTTTGTTGACGAATTATAAAGGGTTTCCAGATATATAGAGTAATTTTTATAGACACACACAAACTCACACACACACACATTTTCACATATATATATATATGAAAGTCGTGTGCTCTACAAACCTAGAAGACAATTTAGTCATTGACGAAAAACATACATGATAGTGGTCCCATAAGATAATAGATTAGACCATATAAATTTCATGTACAATGTTCAGTATCATCTAGGTTTGTGTAAATGCAATCTATTATGTTCATAAAATGACAAACTTTCCTAAAAATGCATTTCTTGGGGGCCAGCATATGGCTCACTGTTTTTGTTGTTGGATTCCCACATAGCTAAGTGCAGTTTAAGTCCCAGATCTGGCAGCTTGAATCTTACTGGGTGAATGTGCATGTGAACTCAAAATTTTGAGAGGAGAATGGAGGAAAAAGGATTGTGGCATCTTCATCTCAAGGGGTAATTTCTAGCTTTTTTTATCTCTTGGTTTCTCTGGCAAGCACACATGTTCTACTGCAAAAATCTATCTAAAATAAAAATGAAATGAAATGAAATTAAAAATGCATTTCTCTCATTATACAATGTTCAACTCTGTATGCAATTCATTACCACATTGATTTTAATTGAACTGCTGTTTAAACAAACATAAGAAAACAAATCAGCATATAAAAAACAGATGTTTTCTTATAGTAAGAATGTATGTAAGCAAAGTCACATAGTATAAAGTCAGGATTAAAAAGGCATATTAAAAAATAATTTGTATTTTCACTGAGGCACGAGTTTAATTAATTTTAATTTTTCTTTAGGTTCTGCCGTAGGTCATTTGCCTTCACCAGAGAGAGATATAAACAAAAAAAATAATAAGTGATGCTTTCACCAGAGAGAGATACAAACAGAAACAATGAGTGAGAAATTAATCCTCAGAAGGTTAGTCATGCCTTATACCCTTTTCCCCCATTATTCTCTCAGGATTTTGGGCATACACGCACATATGCATGCCAGGCATAATTTTCAAGTCACCAGAACCAGGACACAAAACCGTGGTTGACCATGTGAAAGTTGGCCATGTGAGAACTCAGCTCTTTTACCACTACAGTACCTGCTGACTCGTGAAAAGCAAATTGAATGCTAAGTTAGTGTGGAAAGTGGGTGGGAAAAGGAGGAGAATGTGAGGAAAGACATTAAAGACAAAATAAAAAGGCGAGACATTTATGGGACACAGAAATGCATTATTAATATTTGAAGATAACATATATAGTGTTCCCCACTGGATTGGTGTGAAATGTATTCATTTTGGAAAATTCACTTTACAAACTAAGTATACTGATTTAATGTATAAAAGAAATTAAAACCAGGGATCAGCAGTTAGCATAATGGCTATGTTGCTGGACTCCCACGTAGTCGACCCCAGTTCGAGTTCCAGACCCAGCGGCTTAAACTCACGCCGGGCACATGTGCGTGCGTGCCCAAGATCCCGAGAGGAGAATAGAAGAGAAGGGATTGTAGCGTGGCCATCCCCCCGGGGGATGATTTCTCACTTTCTGTCTCTCTGTCTCTGTCTGTCTGGCGAGCGCACGCGCCCTATAATAAAAACCTCTCCAAAAAAAGAAATGAAAACCAAATAAAATACATGAATGTCTACACTTATAGCATAAACTGAAAAATTGCAAATTATAGTAGTATGAAGTGCAACTGTAGATACTACGGACAGTACAGATAGGGATAATATAAGGGTGGGTATTAGGGGAGGAGGAAATCAGAGGGAAAAAAAAGTACATATAACTGACACAAAAATAAAAAGCTATTTCTGATGACAATGTAGATGGTAATGTCTATTTCTTGTCTAATATGCACTTTACTCATGCTAGGAAAAGTCATGTTGTACACTGTAAAAGGTATAGTGATTAAATGTAAATAAAAATAAAAATATTGGAAAACAAAAACAAAAACAGCACACAAAAATGTCTAGTCACACAATTTCATTTCAGGACTCTGTTCAGATACCTCTGTATATATTTAACATTGAAATGACGTCATACCTCCTTGAAACTAACAGGCCAGTTTATCATCTCTTCATTGATGACCAAGCCTTGATCATGGGTGCTCCTGTAGCAAAATTTCCTACTTTAACCAGCAGCAAACTGCGATTAGAAAATCTCACAAGATTGTGGATATCATACTGTATCATTTTTCTGTTTTCATCCAGGGACTTGTTGTACCCAATGCTGTTTGTCAACTGGCTTTTCCTCAGAAATGGATGAAGCTGCATCAAAGGCAGGATTTACAAATTAGGACTGCATTAAATGTAGAGGTTCAACAGTCCATATCTGTCAAGTAATCCTTCTATTTTATCATCTCTACCTGTTTTTTTAGGAGCTCAATATGGATTGAGTTGTCACCAGTTCTGCAGTCATGTGAGATGTACTCTCTCTTTTCTTTCTAAAAACAATGGAGTAGTGGTTGTAGCTCATAAGAAAAATTCTAGGATGTTTCCCAAAGAGTGATTTGTACATGAACTTTCATAAAACCCACACTAACAAAATCTGGCTTGGACTAATTAGAGGCTAAACTTGATCATTCTTAAAGGGCACATGTGGGTCCAGCCAGTGAGTGGTGTGATTAAAGTGGCTGAATCACAAATCACTAAGCCAGCATCTTGGTTCCTGTACCTGCAGCTTACAAAACATGCTGGATGGGGCCAACTGGTGATGCGGTGGTTAAGGCACTGGATTTTCTCATGGCTGACTGTGGTTTAAATTCTGGACTTGATGGCTTGTTTTCTGACTTCCCTTTTTCTTTTCTCTCTGTCTCTCTCTGATCAAATTTTTAAAATAAAAAAATAATTATTTTAAAATGAAAGAAAACATTGTACACATGTGTGTTCATGTCTCAAATTCCAGATAGAAACAGAGATGGAGAAAAGATTCCATCATGACTATTAGGCATTGGTGGTTGTTTTTCACTTTCCCTCTGTGTCTTTCCTTAACAAGTGCATATGTAGAAAAAAAGTAAGAATTATTTAATTTTACTTATTATTGCGATTTTAAAAATTTCACCAGAGAGGGAAACTGAGAAAGCAAGTCACCAGGTTCTGAACTTGAGCTTGTCAGCCATGTGGGAGTTCAGTACTGTGACCACTATGCCACCTGCTGGTCCCTTGTAGAAAAAAAAAATTTAAAAGGCACTAAATGTATGAAAAGATTTAGATTCTTGATACTGGTAGGGGTAGTATAAAAATATACAGTTCTTAAAGTTTATCCAAAAATGGACATTAAATATGTGCAACTTTTTAGATACTATTTGCACCTCAATAAAATTTTTAAAAAGAATAAACTTGTTTTGTTCTTTATCTACAAACTTGTTTTGTTCTTTATCTTTATTTTGGACTTCTTTTGGTAAAAGTGTTATTGTCATGTGACATAAAAAGAAATAATTTGTAACAAATATATAAATTTAAAACATTCAAATTCTTTTTTTTTATTTAAAGAGATCTATTTCTGATGACAATGTAGATGGTAATGTCTTTGTCTTGTCGAATATGCACTGTACTCATGCTAGGAAAAGTCGTGTTGTACACTGTAAAAGGTACAGTGATTAAACATAAATAAAAATAAATAATATTGGAAAACAAAAACAAGAACAGCACACAAAAACGTCTAGTCACACAATTTCATTTCAGGACTCTGTTCAGATACCTCTGTATATATTTAACATTGAAATGACGTCATACCTCCTTGAAACTAACAGGCCAGTTTATCATCTCTTCATTGATGACCAAGCCTTGATCATGGGTGCTCCTGTAGCAAAATTTCCTACTTTAACCAGCAGCAAACTGCGATTAGAAAATCTCACAAGATTGTGGATATCATACTGTATCATTTTTCTGTTTTCATCCAGGGACTTGTTGTACCCAATGCTGTTTGTCAACTGGCTTTTCCTCAGAAATGGATGAAGCTGCATCAAAGGCAGGATTTACAAATTAGGACTGCATTAAATGTAGAGGTTCAACAGTCCATATCTGTCAAGTAATCCTTCTATTTTATCATCTCTACCTGTTTTTTTAGGAGCTCAATATGGATTGAGTTGTCACCAGTTCTGCAGTCATGTGAGATGTACTCTCTCTTTTCTTTCTAAAAACAATGGAGTAGTGGTTGTAGCTCATAAGAAAAATTCTAGGATGTTTCCCAAAGAGTGATTTGTACATGAACTTTCATAAAACCCACACTAACAAAATCTGGCTTGGACTAATTAGAGGCTAAACTTGATCATTCTTAAAGGGCACATGTGGGTCCAGCCAGTGAGTGGTGTGATTAAAGTGGCTGAATCACAAATCACTAAGCCAGCATCTTGGTTCCTGTACCTGCAGCTTACAAAACATGCTGGATGGGGCCAACTGGTGATGCGGTGGTTAAGGCACTGGATTTTCTCATGGCTGACTGTGGTTTAAATTCTGGACTTGATGGCTTGTTTTCTGACTTCCCTTTTTCTTTCCTCTCTGTCTCTCTCTGATCAAATTTTTAAAATAAAAAAATAATTATTTTAAAATGAAAGAAAACATTGTACACATGTGTGTTCATGTCTCAAATTCCAGATAGAAACAGAGATGGAGAAAAGATTCCATCATGACTATTAGGCATTGGTGGTTGTTTTTCACTTTCCCTCTGTGTCTTTCCTTAACAAGTGCATATGTAGAAAAAAAGTAAGAATTATTTAATTTTACTTATTATTGCGATTTTAAAAATTTCACCAGAGAGGGAAACTGAGAAAGCAAGTCACCAGGTTCTGAACTTGAGCTTGTCAGCCATGTGGGAGTTCAGTACTGTGACCACTATGCCACCTGCTGGTCCCTTGTAGAAAAAAAAAATTTAAAAGGCACTAAATGTATGAAAAGATTTAGATTCTTGATACTGGTAGGGGTAGTATAAAAATATACAGTTCTTAAAGTTTATCCAAAAATGGACATTAAATATGTGCAACTTTTTAGATACTATTTGCACCTCAATAAAATTTTTAAAAAGAATAAACTTGTTTTGTTCTTTATCTACAAACTTGTTTTGTTCTTTATCTTTATTTTGGACTTCTTTTGGTAAAAGTGTTATTGTCATGTGACATAAAAAGAAATAATTTGTAACAAATATATAAATTTAAAACATTCAAATTCTTTTTTTTTATTTAAAGAGATTTTTGCTATAGGGAATGTGTGCTTGCCAGAGAGAGAAAAACAGAGAGACAATAAGTAAGAAATCACCCACAGGAGGGATAGCCAGGCTATAATCCATTTTCCTCCATTCTTCTCTTGGGATTTGGGGCATGCATGCATACACCACCAGAATGAGTTTTAAGCCTCCAGTTCTGAGATTTGAAACACAGTCAACTACACAAGAGTCCAGTGACATAACCATTATGCCATCTGTGGTCCCCAAACTTTTAAATTGTAAAGAAGTTTTTATCTCTGGTGGACAAGTAAACTTCCCAGAGAGACATAGAGAGAATCTGAGAGATGAGAAAAGAAGTGTCCCCATGGGGAATGAGTAGTAATTTCTTCTTCATTTCTCCTTTCTTTTGGGATTTTGGAAATGCATACATGTACACATGCTTGGCTGTTTCTGAGGCCTCAAGGTCTTGGACTTGGGCCATGTGTAATTCAACTTCCTTATTCAATAGAGCATAAATCCATCCCACTAAAGATTTAGTGTTTGAAGAATTATTTATTTAATTTTACCTATTATTATTAATTTTAATTTGCAAAAGGGCATGGGTGCTGATGAGAGAGAGACAGAGAAAGAGAAGAAAATTGAGAAAGCAAGCTGTCAGGTCCAGGACTCAAACCAGTCAGTTATGTGGGAGTTTAGAGATTTAACCACCATACCACTTGTAGGTCTCAGTAAGGAGATTTTTAATAAAACATGTTATAATTTTATTTTTAAATTTATGACTTTTTTGCAGAAAGTTATTAACTTTTATTGTTTATACAACTGTTTTTTCAGTCTTTACATTTTTTGAGAGGTTTTTGCTATAGAGTGTGTCAGCTTGCCAGAAGGACAGAGAGAGACAGAAAGTGAGAAATCACCCCCCAGGGGGGATGGTCACGCCACAGTCCCTTCTCCTCCATTCTCCTCTCAGGATCTTGGGCATGCATGCACACTTGCCCTGCATGAGTTTAAGCCACCAGGTTTGGAACTCAAATCTCAGTCAACTACATGGAAGTCCAGTGACATAGCCATTACATCAACTGCTGATCCCCAGTCTTTACATTTTTAGAATGTAATCACTCCCATCTTTAACATATCTAGGTAACCGTTTTCACAAAACTTTGTGCTTTTCCAAGAGTCAACCTCAAACTTTTTCAAAGAGCAGGTCAAATGTTGTTATTCTTAGTATAAGTAGAAATCAAATGAAAACTAAATTTCTGATCTTTATTTTTATCTATGTATGTTATATTTACTAGTTTTTCTCAACAAATTTGTCTAATTTATTGTCTCTTTTTGATAAAGATGCTTTACACGTAAGTAATAAACTTATATTCTTTGAATTATTTACTTTATTTTATTAATTTGTTTTAGATTTTCTATATGGTGTGTATACCACTAAACAGAGATAGACAACAAGAAAGAGGGAAAGTGAGAAAGCAAGTTGCCAGGCCCAGGGTTCAAAAGACAGTCAACCATGTGAGAGTTCAGTGTCTTAACCATGATTCCAGCTGCTTGTTTCATGATTTAGTGTTTATTTCAAAGATAAACTTGGGAACCAGTAGGTGGCATAGTGGTTAAGGTGCTGGACACTCCCACATGGCTGACCACAGTTCCAGTCCCAGACCTGGTGTCTTCCTTTCTCACTTTCACTCTCTCTCTTTCTCTGTGTCTCTCTCTGGCATAGAAGAATGAAGAAAGAAAGAAAGAAAGAAAGAAAGAAAGAAAGAAAGAAAGAAAGAAAGAAAGAAAGAGGAAGAAAGAAAGAAAATTAAATAAATCTTTAAAAATAATAAAATAATAAAAGATAAATTTATTTATAAACCAAATAGGATATCCTGAGACTATATGCATCAAAGTGGTTCAATATCATAAAACTGGATAACCGTTCCTTCTTCCATGATTTTTGAAGACGGTATAAGAAAAATTAAAATTAATTCTGTTATGATTAAGAACAAGCAAAATAAATAACTGCAGACACCTGTAGGTTATCCATGCCAGTAAAAGAGTATAAGTGCTCAGATGCTCCCCAAATGGTCATTCTGACTTTAGAATATTCTAACATTTCTTCCAATATTTTGTCCATCTTTAATCTGTTCATTCTAAGTTATATTAAGGTTATATTGTGACTACTTTTCATACTTTCTCTTCCCATCATTTTATAAAATCAAGGACAGGGGAAGACATTGTGAAGTCGAGGGGAAAGAGAGGAGAAAGAGAGTGATGGGAAAAAGCCAGCCTCCAAGGGCAATTCACAGAGAAAACACAGAGTGGATCATGTACAACTAATGGAGAGCATTCTTCAGAGAAAACCTTTTATTCTCTCTATATAATCTTTTTCAGTATCACAAAGAAATATACCTAAGCAGATGGCTTGGTGGTTAGGGTGACTGAGTTTCCACATGAGCTACCCAGTCTGAGTTCTGTATCCGGAGGCTTGAAAACCAGGCCAGACGTGTGTGTGAGCATGCCCGAAATCTCAAAAGGAGACAAGAGAAGGGACAGTATGCAGCATGGCCATTTCTCCTTTCTGGTAAGCACACTTAACCCTAAGGGGAAAAGCTAAATACAAAAAATTAAAAAAAAAAAAAAACTTCAGGAGTCAGAGGTAGTTTGATGGTTAAGGAGGACTCCTATATGACTGACCATGGTTTGAATCTCAGACCAGTAATGTGGAAAACCATGCCAGGCATGAGTGTATGTCTGCTGCCCACACAGGAAGAGAATGGAACAGAAGGAATTGTGATGTGGCCATACCCACAGGGAATGATTTCTCTTTCTCTCTCAATATGTCTCTATGGTGAAAGCACATGACCTATGGCAGAAATATTTTTTTTAAATGAAAAAGAAAATGCCTCTAAATATAATCAGGTGTTTATGAAGAATGTTTACCTACCAGGGGAGAATAGGTTGATCTACTTCTCCTTCAGATCCCATTTCTATTTTTTGCAGAAGCATCTTATAAAGACCTTGGGCCACCACCTGCACAGCATGATAGATGAAATAGCTGGGGTCAGACACTATCCTCATGTAAAAATTAAATGGTAGAAACTCTATGGAAAAATTTGGTTGGCAGTCTCCAAGTTTGATACATATTGACCCAGTAAGTGAGCAATTAAAAAAAGAAACCCAGAGTCTAATGAGATAAAAAAATCTTCTGGGTATTGGAAAGGGTTAACTGTCTTGAGAAATTTTTTAAAGCCAGGAATATTCCTTTTCTGGTTTGAAAGAAACAGGCTTCCATGGAAATCATATGGCATGTTACTCAAAATACTCAAAACATCTTCCAAGTCTGAGGAGCGGAGATTTCTCATGATCCATACATTTCCCAAAATTAAATAAGAGATTTTTGGCAATCCCATGCTCAGGATACTCCCTTCATCACCGTGTATTATATACACATTTGCAGATGAAACTGATGCTCTTTACAACAAGGTAGTCACGATATAAAATGACACCTTTTGTGGCAGGGAGCTTTTCTGTGAAGTCCACACAGATATCCTTTTCTGTCATCTTTGCCTTTACATCCTGGAGGAACTGCTCCCCTTGCATATCATCAGTTACATAGAGTGCCACCCACGTCCAGCCAAAATGCAGCAACAAACAGATGATTCCATAAGCCGGAGAGCTGTCCTTGGAGGTCATCTGATAAACTGATGGAAATTGATCTTTATCATTAAGGATGGGATGAAAAGGACCATATGTGACCTGAATAAAAAAATAAATTAAAAAATCTCATACTTCTTTTTTGTAAAGAAGATGAAC